TTAAATTTCAGTTTTCTGCGAGAATTTCTTTGATATTCCTCCCGCTTCTCAACAGAAATGACAATTTTCCTCCATTCCGTGCTGAATTTTGATTTTTCTCTCAAAGAACTTTCGTTTTCTTATTTTCAACCGGACAAGAAATACTTCTTTCGATATTAGATCATAGAATATTTTCAAAACAGATTCAAAAAAGATTTTCAAAATCTGCTTTTCAACTTGCAACAATTTCATCCCCAATCTCGCGTTAAGAAATAATATAGATTGCCTTGCAACTTGCAAAGTGACGAAACAACAATCAGAAACTTTCCAAATTTTCCAACTTGCTAAATTTCGATTTTTTTCTCAAAGAATTTTTTTTCTTTTATTTTCAATCACCGGACGAGGAATACACTTTCGAATCGATATAGAATAATATAGATTGCTTTGCCAACTTGCGAGTTGACGAAACAACAATCAAAAACTTGCCGACTTACTGAATTTTGATTTTTTCTCAAAGAATTTTCGTTCTCTTATTTTCAACCGAATGAGGAATATTTTTTCGAATCGATATTAAATCATAGAATATTTCCAAAAAAGATTTTCAAAATCTGCTTTTCATCAACTTGCAACAATTTCATCCCCTCATCTCGCGTCAAGAAATAATTTAAATTGTTTCGCTAACTTGCGAGGTAACGAAACAACAATCAGAAACTTGCCAAATTTTCCAATTTGCTGAATTTTGATTTTTTTCTCAAAGATTTTTTTCTCAAAATCTGCTTTTCATCAACTTGCAACAAATTCATCCCCTTTGCGTTAAAAAATAATATAGCCTTGCCAACTTGCAAGGTGACGAAACAACAATCAAAAATTTGCCAACTTCCAACTTATTGAATTTTGATTTTTTTCTCAAAGAACTTTCGTTTTCTTATTTTCAACCGAACAAGGAATACTCTTTCGAATCGATATTAAATCATAGAATATTTTTAAAAAAGATTTCCAAAATCTGTTTTTCATCAACTTACAACAATTTAATCCTCTCATGTCGCGTCAAGAAATAATATAGAGTTGCCAACTCTCATTCCTTTCCAAAATCAAAACCCACCACGGATCATTCTACCTAAAATCCTAAATCCTAATTTGCCCGCCCATCTCCTCCAATCTATCCGATATATCCCCATAAATCTTAACCTGATTCCCGCCCAGTAACCCCGCATTATCCACCAACATCCCTCCAACATCCCTCACCTCACGTTCTCCATTGTTCGCGCGAAACTCCTATAAAACCGGTGTACACAAACCGGTCCTTAAATCGGTCGCCGTGCACCCACAGGGATCCCGTGGCGACTTAACGAGGCGACAATTATCGCGATTATACGAGCGGTAGCCGAGCATATAACCGGGGGCGAGAACGTGGCGCGGCGAGCGAGGGTTGGGGCAGGGGGATGGAAGGGGTGGAGGAATGGGAGGAAGCGACGACGAGGAGCGGTGGTTTAATGGCGCGTATCGAGCATCCGGTGTTCAGCGGTGCTTGGAGCTGCTTCTGCGAGTCGCGCTCTTCTGAACTTTGAGAGGGGTGGGAGGGAGAAAGGAGAGGGATATTTCCTAAAGACGTAAATACAAACGAAGCTTAAAAGCTCACCTCTCGCCGGGTGGGCCAAGACCCCCCACGGTGCTAGGTGGCGGCGGTGGCGCCCTTATGGGGGTTGGAGGTGGCGTCGAGACGCCACCCAGGGACGGCTGACTCTGCTGGGGCCGCGGGCTGACCGAGGCGGAAGTGGTGCTGGGGCTCCTCGACCCCCCAGCTCCATCTGGACCGGCGTCCTCCGCGTCGGGGGCGCTGCTGCTTGTCGTTCCTTTTGGGGCAAGGAAAAGACAAGGGAAATGCTTGTACCATTGATCGTTTTAAATTCGTGGTGTGGTCACCATGAGTCGGGGATGTGGAGATTTATATTCTTTTCCAGGGTTGTTGTAATTAATTATGCGTGCTCGTGGGTTCTTAGGGATCGAAAGGGTTCTTAGGTGAGTTAGGTTAGTTGGTTGATTTACGAAAATGTCGGTTCAAGCTTATTTGTGTTAGGTTGTAAGTAATTTAGATTCGCGTTTATCTCGTTCTGTGTCTTCGTTCAAATTTAAATTACTTGAAAAATTACTTGATTGCACTATGTAATAGTAGAAATGATTATAAGTTTACACAATTATTATTAAATAAAAATTGTTTTTTTTTGCATTTAATTGTTCAAATTGAAAGAATCGAGAATATAAAACTGTTATTATTATTAAGAAAAAGAAATGATATGCGAATGAATAGGTGTTTTTTAATAATCATTGTTGTATCGAGGTTGAAAATGATGATACCTTCAGGATCATGTCCTGTTGGACTGGGTCCTGCCGATGACGACGTTGGAGGTGCGAGGCCTGTCGTTTCCAACGCGCCACCCCCTCCGTTACCCTCTCTTTTCCTTTGTTCCTCCTTCAAACGTTCGCTTTTCCTCCACTTCGCTCTACGATTTTGAAACCATACCTGTAAAATTCAAATTCAATTCGTTTTCATTTCGCAACGATCTGAACACAATCCAATCAATATTTCAATCTTTTAAAAATTTCATCTTTATTCAACGACAAAAAAATCGTCCAATTTTATCGTCAACGATATGGATAAATTTTTCATCATCGATCGAAGGTAAAAAGAAGGCAAAAAAAACAAAGAGAGAGAGAGAAAAAAATTAGCTTCAATTTCAACCCCTGAAGAAGATCGGTTGTGCAACGAAGACGCGTAAATAAAATAGAAGGCGCAGTATGAAAGGATGAACGAAAAAAAAAAGAAGAAGAAAAAAAAAGCAAACGAGAGTACGATGAGGAATGGCGCTGAAGGCGGCACTTAAGCTGCTTTATAGGGCTACACCTGGTGTGCGGATATGGAAGGATAATTGCATGTAGGGGATGGGATTCGCGGCTGGACCAGAAGGGGGTGTTGGGCCTCTTGGCCGCGTGCATGTTCAACGAGCTGACAGCAACCACGGCGGCCGAGTGTTTTTTAAAAAGCTCGAGTTCCGCTAACGAGCCTAACTTGACATAATACCAACTGAAATAGACTTTATTATACCCGGCGGTCCTCCGCCGCTTCGTGCCTCCCGCGTGGCTGTTGCTTTCCAATTGCCACCCCTAACGCGAGCTTCTTTCGGACCGAGTTCCTCTTTTGAATTCTCTCCATGATGTTCTTATAGTTGTTGCGATACTTGAGAATTTTTCTTCTTCTTTTTCTTCTTTTTTTTTTTTTTTTTTTTTTACAGAACGTGATTCAATTTTCAATTTTGCAATGAGTAATGGTTAATGGATACGATATCACGTTCTTTTACTATATTTTTTTCTTATTTTTATTATTCATATCGTAGAATGATTCTTCGTGAATTAAAATAAATTTATTATCCTTCGTGCTTCCCGTGACTGTTGCTTTCCAATTGCCACTCCTAACGCGAGTTTCTCTTTTGAATTCTCTTCAGTATGATGTTCTTATAGTTGTTGCGATAATTGAAAATTTTTCTTCTTCTTTTTTTTTTTTTACAGAACGCGATTCAATTTTCAATTTTGCAATGGTTAATGGATACGATATCACGTTCTTTTATTATATTTTTATTATACTGTAGAATGATTCTTCGTGAATTAAAATAAATTTATTATCCTTCGTGCTTCCCGTGACTGTTGCNTTTCCAATTGCCACTCCTAACGCGAGTTCCTCTTTTGAATTCTCTTCAGTATGATGTTCTTATAGTTGTTGCGATAATTGAAAATTTTTCTTCTTCTTCTTTTTTTTTTTTACAGAACGCGATTCAATTTTCAATTTTGCAATGGATACGATATCACGTTCTTTTATTATATTTTTATTATACTGTAGAATGATTCTTCGTGAATTAAAATAAATTTATTATCCTTCGTGCTTCCCGTGACTGTTGCTTTCCAATTGCCACTCCTAACGCGAGTTCCTCTTTTGAATTCTCTTCAGTATGATGTTCTTATAGTTGTTGCGATAATTGAAAATTTTTCTTCTTCTTCTTTTTTTTTTTTTACAGAACGCGATTCAATTTTCAATTTTGCAATGGATACGATATCACGTTCTTTTACTATATTTTTTTATTATTTTTATTATTCATATCGTAGAAT